CTTGAATTAGGATTATTCCTGAAGACGTTCAAAAGCAATAATAACCTGAAGACAACACATTCCTAAGCCTGTTTTTGTAATGGACAAATCGAGCGGAAATTCAGTTGGTAGCCCACAAGATTTATGTCCTTCCGAACGGTGTTTCTAGTCTTTGGGCTCGTTTGCAACAGCAAAGTAGGATCTTGCCAACCTCCGAAACTTACAAGCAACGTACATGCAGCCGAACAAATAAGGCGCAAAATGAAACGAGAATTGAAATTATGGAAGTTCATTTATTTCACAAATGCTACAGAGTCGTGCGATGGGTGAATTAGCCGACACTTCGATAAATCGGTAGAGAGACTCCAAAGCCTCGGATAGTTTGTTAAAGGTATTCCTCAAGGTAGTAAGACAGGAATCTGACTTAATTTAGAGCTACAGATCCTCTACCCTAAATCTGGTTAACGTGTCAACTTTGCCTCTGCTTCACTGGTTTATTCGATGATATCACAGGCAAGCGCTCGAATTTAGAGGATTACACCAAAAAAGTAAAGGCGAAAATGCAACAAAAAAAGAGCTATTCCATTTTGGCACCTCAACAACTTAGTTACGGCTTGTTTCCTTGATAACTCAGCCTATCAGAATAGTGACATTTTCAAGCGAATCAGGTGTTATGCTAGCAATATTAAGCTAGAATACGCTCGATCAAAGTTGACACTGCGTACGAAAAAAGATGATGATGTAACGAAAAAAGGTGGGACATTTATGTTGAGGGATTGAAATGCTTTAACTTACAGTAGGAGGACTAAAAAATAGCAAGATGAATGGTTAGGGCCAATGTGGGGCCAGAGCCAAAAGGGTTAATTTTAATCAACAACAACGCAGTTTGCAAAGAAATAGCCTTTCGACTGGGTACCGATAGCCGACACGCGTCAGAAAACTGGTGATATGGACTGGTATTCAAATGAGTTTATCCTTGAAGAAATTAGCCGCTTACAGACAACAGTGCCAGATGAAGTGAACCGATGTTTGCGGAATTTTGTAACGCTGTTCGAGCGCGCCGATCCCAGGCGAATGTAAAGGATCGGTGAAAAGTTTGCCACTGTGCATTTCAACCGGATTTTTTACGAAATTCTCCGGTTTCATTTGATAACTAGCCTCCCAATTCCTCGCTGAAGCTATTGCAACCAAATTCAAAGACTGGCAGGCCTTATTGGATCTGTAAGAATATTAACTCAAGGAGCACCAAGAAAGCATGAGTCATTAGCCAACGAGGTAGGAATTTTGTTGTGCGTTTGGACACACATTCCTATCAGTCTATTTGTGCCACTACTTTTCACACTATTCCTAGTGCTTATGGTAAAATGATGTCTTATTAACTTATGAGACACTGTTGAACTATCACTCTTGAATGCGTGTTCAAGCATAAGTGACCGATGACGTTTAAAACGAACTGTTCATAAAGTTTCTCTCCAGGTCTTCTAAAATATCAAATTACACCCGTTCGTAAGTTGTTATTTCTCAATGATAATTTTTTCATCATCCAGGAGCATTCTTTTCCAAGTGGAACTAACATCAAGAAACGCTAACTTGAAAAAGGAACGTACCGCATCAAGTAACCAATCAGCAGCAGCACAAGAGGAGAGTGCAGGCCGATTACGAAGAAGCTGGTTAGCTTGTTCGGTGACCTGTCGCTCCAAAAGAGGGCGGATAGAAGGCTGCAACTGGGAAGCACCCTTTCTGAATAGAATAAAGCGCCAAAGCAACGATTTCTCTGTTGCACCACCGCTTAGGCTATCGAATATGGGGAAGGTGGAGAGGAAATCACGCTGTGAGAAAAAGTAGAAAAAAAGGGTGTTAATGAACGAGAACTTCCTTTTGGTGAGATCTTGTGTGGCCATGGGGACACGAATGGCTGCCGTGATGGTAACAACTAAAATACTAATAACTTAGTTGACTTGCACTCATTGGAAAAACACAGATTGACTAGCAGTTGAAACAGAAGGGAAAGTCAACTCTTGCTGATTCGGGTTTTCGCATACTTTCCCCACCACATCACCTGGCCTGTGCCATGCCTCTTGCCTATCTGGCCTCCCTTCTTACCTTTCGTTCTACCGTCACTAGCTGATTACGTCTGTTAGAGTGAATCTCTGCACGTGACTTAGGGGTGAAAAGAGATATCGGATGCTGCTGCATAGGCCAGTGGAATGGAGAACCTTCCTCCTCCTCCTCCTCCTCCTCCTCGAATGCTCTCAAGCTTGTGACTTTGGCATACACAAACAATTCAGAGTTAATGATGCTCGAATGTCGAGGGCAAACTGGGTGCAATAGCCATGGAGAGGGTGGGTGACTATCGAGGTGGGAAATTTTGTGACGTCGTTGAGATGATGTGCGCACAAACCTGAGGAGCCGGTGCATTTCACGCGTTGCAGAGCAATGAGGCGATCCGCTGTGGCAAATAATCCGAAGTGTAAAATCCACGTTGTTTCAGCGGACCCGCTTTGTTCGAATTTCCGCCCATACCTTTACAACTCGGAATTCCGGTACGCTATCAAGGTTTGGAGTGCACCAGCACCACCATTGAGGGACAGCGTTGGTGATGTTTGAGCCAAATTTGTGAGCCGAAGGAGGGATGAGGGCATTTCAGACAGTCTTATTCCATGAACAGGCCTTCACATCCCGTAATCGCATGTCGTTTGGCTTTGAAAAGGGTCAGTTTGAAGGGATCGGTGTGTGCTTTCTTGTGCATTGTAGGAACGAGGAGGAGGAGAAGAAGAAGAAGAAAAAGAAGGCATAACTGAGCAAGTGCAGGTGCGCCTGCGTCTTTGCCTTGCACTCGAGGGGGAGGGGGAGGGGGAGGGGGAGGAGGAGGTGTGATACCCATGCTTTGCGCATCCGTCAAGGCAAACACTAACAGACCAAAGTTGTTGGTGGGTGAATAGTGAAGGTGGACTGAAGGAGGTTGACGGAAGGGAAGGTCGAACGTCGGGTTCAGTTTGTGAATTGGCGCCATCAATACCTGATGAATGTAATTCGTATCAATAGTTCTAATGATGTGACGTTTAAATATGTCGAAGACGACCACAGTACATCCCAATTCGGTGTGACAGGCAGTGTGAAAAATGCTACCCAGAACAGCTTGAAAAGTAAAATGTTAATTTTGACTATAATGACTATAATGAGGCATTGTAAGATAATAGATCTTCATGACATAATGGAAAGATCGCAATCGTTGGGACTTCATACGTTGCTAAATAGGTTGTTGGAAAGGTGGTTGACTGTCTTTGGCAATTCCGCATCCGGTATTTCATGATAAAGAAGCGGAGAATGTAAGAATGGTGGTGCTTTGCATACACAACAAATGCTAATACTTGTAATCGGATTTATTAAAAAGAGCTCAAAACTTTGCCTTAGTGCCGACTGAATCTTTTTCACATGTAAAACCCTGGATATAAGTAAATGCAGGATTTCTGCAATTTGTACAGCATAGTCTACTAAGGGACCTTCTTCAGGTAAATGCTACTGCAATCCTAGAGGTGCCTTGACCATCACCCAGCATAAGTGCTGGGCTCTACTTAGCAACCCCACCCCAAAACGCATAGCATGCATGCATCTACAATAACTTTAACAATGTTTCCATTCTTTTGTTCCAACATCCATAAATTTGCTATCCACACAGACTTTAAGTCAATAGGTTACCAACGTTGAAAAGATTGTTGAACACCTCATAGCAAGTCGGGTTTGAGCAGGCAGAATGCTTGAGGAAAACAAAACAATTAAACAAAACTACTTGCAGTCTAAGAAGGGTAATAATATTCTCATTGAAAAGCTAATGCTACAAAGTACACAGATGTAGAGCGGAAAGATGTAGGCAGCAGCATTTCACCACAATTCAATCACCTCTGAGAGGCAACAATGCCCCAAGCGGA